ATCTACAGAAATGATCATATGTTGCTTCAAGAGTGCAAAGTGACCTACTGTTTTACCGTTTTGAAGAGAGACATAGACATACGCAATGCCTTTCGCACGATCTCAATATCCACGACCAAAGTTTGCGTCTGGCAGTATTCCCTTATGTTGAGGATGACCCATAGAGCTATGGTTTTGGTTTTCCAGGTTCTTTGTTTATTTAACTAGTGTCATGTTATTTATGTGCTTGGGGTGAATCGTATTAGTATATGTTGTGTACTCATGGTTCTTTACTCTTGTTGTTATTGAGAGTTCTTAAGGATCACCAAATTGTTGTTGCAGAGTCCAACAATCGTGCAATCATCCTTTGGAATTCGGATTGTGGCATAGAGAGACCAGTTCTCCTCCTTCTGCCTCACCCAAATCCGAAAATAATTACCACTTTCCTTCACCACGGCGAGTCCCCCCATCAAACTCGGACAGAACAAAAATCATCATATGTTGATTCATTACTGCAAAAATAATCATATGTTATTTGTGGTGGACATCTACAAAAATGATCATATGTTGCTTCAAGACTGCAACGGTGACCTACTGCTTTACCGTTTTGGAGAGGGACATAGACATACGCAATGCCTTTTTCACGATCTCAATATCCAAGACCAAAGTTTGCGTTTGGCGGTATTCCCTTATGTGGGGGAGGACCCATAGAGCGCGTATGGTTTTGGTTTTCCAGGTTCTTTGTTTATTTAACTAGTGTCATGTTATTTATGTGCTTGGGGCGAATCGTATTAGTATATGCTGTGTATGGTTTTCCATAGAGCGTATGGTTTTGGTTTTCCAGGTTCTTTGTTCATTTAACTAGTGTCATGTTATTTATGAGCTTGGGGTGAATCGTATTAGTATATGTTGTGTACTCATGGTCCTTCTTTCAATGGTCCTTTCATAGCACTTCAATCCATAATAAATAAATAAGTCAAAAAAACATATTTGTGGCACTAGTTACGATTGAAAAAAGGAAATAGCAAACAAGAAACAGTACCAAAGCAGGCCTTTATTTATTATGGATTGAAGTGCTATGAAAGGACCGTTGAAGAAAGGACCATGAGTACACAACATATACTAATACGATTCATCCCAAGCACATAAATAACATGGTATTAGTTAAATAAACAAAGAACCTGGAAAACCAAAACCATACTCTATGGGTCCTCAACATAAGGGAATACCGCTAGACGCAAACTTTGATCGTGGATATTGAGATAGTGAAAAAGGCATTGCGTATGTCTATGTCCCTCTCCAAAACGGTAAAACAGAAGGTCACCTTTGCAGTCTTGAAGCAACATATGATCATTTTTGTAGATGCCCACCACACCGTGAATATTATGAGCAACAGGGACATCATTAGTGAAACGGCACCACCAGTTACAACCAGTCCACACCAAAATCTCGAAACTAAAAGACTTGGTCTCCGTAGCAATAAGACATTCATTCCCACAGTTGAAAACAACATCGGCAAGTGATCCATAAAACTCGACAATAATAACACAATCAGCAATGTCGTCGAGAGAAAGTTCTTCAAGCTTACGGCTCTTGAGTAAAGGGATGAGTACGGCAAGAAACTTCTCATTAGCAAAGTTGAAATATATAATAACAAATTTACCGTCAGGATGTTGAGCTACCCAATAATAAAATTCTTTTACGTGAAGTGAAGGGTTCTGATAGGGTTGCAAATCTGCATTAGGATACGGAATTTCCTTCCAGGAAAAAGTTGCGTGGGAGAACATATCCACTTGGATTTTGTCTCGAGAATCACGATACTTCCACACGTTAAATCTGACTACCTTGTAGTCTCGAGATACAGGATCGAACCCGATTTCGTAACCCCCTATGGACGCAGATAAAGGGGAAGGCAAGCGCGGCTTCACTGAAACGTAGAATGGATTATGAATGCATCATTTGTAGGGTCCCACAGAAGATCTCATGAATATGCACCTGATGCATTCATACATGCCAACAACATCCATTTATTGCAACTCGCTACAACATCAAAAATGGCATTCTCAGAAAAAATTTTATGCAAGAGTAGAAAGAAGTTACGAAGGTTGTCTTGTAACACGCTGAACGAGTCTTTCTCTATAGAGATAACAGAGTACTCGTAATACCCAGAGAAAAGATACTACACCATAAGCATAAGATTGTTGCTTTTATGCTTCAATCTGTGAGTAAGACTATCTCCAAGCGCAGGAACACGAGAGAGAATGCGAGATAAGAATTTCGGAGAAGATATGAGTTTGGATTCGGGCTCGACAAGTGGATTTAAAAGATCCACTTCAACATATGGGAAGATCAACAGAGCCAAACCATCGCCACAGATACCAGTATTCCTCGACTTGCATGTTTCCCAATTGTATACCCATAAGTCACCACCTTTGGAGTCGTGAAGAAACACATTATTATTCTTGTAGGATCCAATACATGATCAGCAACAACATCAAGAGGGAAGTCATTAGTAGAATGGCAAACCCAGCTGCCCTCATTCCATACCCAAATCTCAAAAACAAAAGGCTTTCTCCTTTCATCATCAGCAGCAACACGGCCTTTTCCCTTCTTCCATCGATGAAAATCGAATACAACAATTTCGAGTGACCCATGAAACTCGACAAGATGAACACAAACAATTATGTCGTCTCCCATCCTAGAGCTTTTGGGCAGAGGGATGAGATCAGCAGGAAATTCATCACTAGCAAAGTCGAATGAAATAACATGAACATCATCCTTGCCATGGCAAGCTAACCAATAATAAAATCCATTTATGTGAAGCGAAGGACGTTGATGGAGTCGGATCTTCAGATCATGAGGATAGGGAATTTTCTTCCACGTCCTAATTACAAGTGAGAAGAGTTCCGCTTTGGGCTTTCGTGTGGATTTCCACGCCGGAACCATAACATTCCAATATTCGACATCTGATCACCATATAGTCCTCAGATACCATATAGTCCTCAGATACAGGGTCAAATCCGATACCGAAACTCACCATGGATACATAACCTCGAAAGCTCTCCTCAATACATGGTGGAAGGGCTTCATAAAGATCAGTCGTAGGGTTCCATAGAAACTCCCGCTCATGCCCAACAAATCTTATATGTCTTAGCAGCACCCATGTGTTGCAACTCGCTGCAACATAAAAATTGGAATTCACACATGAAGGATCATAGATTTGAGCTGTGAGCGGGAAGAATTAAGGAAGCTTATCATCTTGCCTCACTTTGAACAAGTCATCTTTCATTGAGAATACACAGTATTCGCGGGACCAGTACATGCTGCACCATAAGCATAAGATTGTTGTTCTTGTTGTTGTTAAGCACTGGATGTGCCAAAACAGCAAGGAGGGGATGCGCCGGTGCTTGGCAAGCAGATGCTCTGAATTTATATTTAGATGCATTTGAGACAATTTCCGTTGATTCACCATACGGGAACACCGTGGGAGAGTTCCTTTTCCGCACGAATACCGAGTTCTTCCATTTTTCCTGGACACGTAATCGTAAAGCAGTAGATCGCATTGAGAGTTCTTAAGGATCACCAAATTGTTGTTGTAGAGTTCATCAATCGTGCAATCATCCATTTCCAATTGGATGGTGGCATAGAGAGACCAGTTCTCCTCCTTCTGCCTCACCCAAATCTGAAAACAATTACCACTTTTCTTCACCACGGCGAGCCCCCCCATCAAACTCGGCCAGAACAAAACCATATTCACCTCCTCCTCCTTCCGGCATATCAATCAGAGGAAGAAATTTCTCGTCAGTAAAGTCGAACGAGATAACCGCGAAAGAAGCATCATCATCAGAAGCTAGCCAATAATATACTCCATTAATGTGAATGGAAGGTATCTGAAAGAGTTCCATGGTGGTATCATAAGGATACCTAATTTCCTTCCAGGGACCAGTTTATAGTGACAACAACTCAACACAGATTCGTACGCGACCATCATCTTTCTTCACGCAAGATCTAACCAGCTTATACTCTCCATAAGCCACACCTAATCCATATGCCCACAATCCTGTTGAACTGACGAACACAAATGGAAACCGCAAAGGTACTGAAGGTTGCCTATTGTGGGGTCCCACAGAGCCTCCCGTATGAGACCACCACGTCTATGACATAACAACAACATCCATGAACCGCAACTCGCTAGAACGTGAATCCTGAAATGGCGATCATAGTGATCGAACCTTTTAGCAATGATTCGAGACAAGCTAGGAAGAGTATCAACGCGCAGAACTTTAGACGAGTTGTTTTTTATTGATATTACTGAGCAATCCTTGATTCCTCAGTGTGTGTGCCGCATCATAAGCATCGGATTCTTCTTGTTGCTATGCTCCGCCGCGTGCGGCTGAGTATCATCGGTGAGTAGGTCTGAGAAGTTTCCCATGTCCGTCATGTCGCCGTCTCTGCTGCAGAAGAACAATTAACAGAGATCCTCAACTTCTCTCTCCCTCTCAATCTGTTGATTGGCTTTGGTGGGTGTGGTAAATTCAATGGAAATCGAGGAAATTAGGGTTCTGGAGGACGAAATTGGGGATGAAGGGCTTCTGGATCGGATTTTGATAATGAAGGCATCTAACCATCAAACCAAGTTCAAGTGGGAAATGAAGGTTCTGACACGTGGTGAGCTGAAGTACATTGATGGAGATCAAAGCTTGTAATCTTGGGCATCCACTTATTTTTATGTTATTGGATGTTTTAGTATTTTTTTGTTATGAGCATATATTGTTAAGTGGTAGGATGAATTTTGTAAAAAAAAAACAGAGGAATTTACACCCCTTACTATCAGATATGATTTATATTACACTTATACACTCATTGTATACTTATTTATAAGATTACCAAACAAAGTAAAAGATATTACAATTATACCATTCACGTGAACTGCTGCAATTTTAACCGTTATTAAGTAATTTCGGGGCAAATTAAATGCAATATCCCCTCTCTCTCTCTCTCTCATTGCATTGCAGAAGTCACGGAAGCGCACGACGGAGGATAACAATCGGAGATGGACGTCGTGGAGATGCTCGACGGAGTTGAGGAAGGAGGAATCGGAGGCGGGGTTGATTGGGTTGGGTCCACCCGGGGTTCGGCCAATCAAGAAACCTAATCTACTAACCTTCCAAACAGTTTTGGGTATACATAAATGCCCCTGTCCGGATTTAAGGTTTCAAACAACTAGGCATAAATCGTGGACCAACAAGAATTAGCTGAAATAAATACCTCAGACATATGTGGAATTGGGAGATGTATGTTTCCAAAGTTATTTTGCCAAGCCACCTGGTAAACAAAGAGAGTTTGCATGTAAGTTCAGCCGAAAAGATAGTATCCAAACTGCTAATGCTTAGGTCCCAAAATAATATTAATAAAATAAACAGAAAACTTACGCGAAGAGGGTCAAAGAAAAATTACGAAGTTCCTGACTGAAGTTACGTAAGCAAATATAGACCCTGAAAGAAAAATGTATAGAGAAGAAACATGAGAAAATCGATACTAAGAAGAAAAAAAATATACAAAATAGAACGATTGCGAAAAGAGGAAAGTTCTTACATTAGAGATAACAAGATAAATCAACAGAAAAGAAAAATATACAAAATAGAATGACAAAAATCGATACGTACGTTATGGGAATCCACGATGTGTAAGGATGGAGCTTGTTGTATGCAACTTTGTCCAGCTTGTATATGTATTCATACCACAAATACCCTACCTAAGGCCAGAGAATGAGTCAAACAACAATCTCTATCAAATGAATAATCAGAATGAAAATCTATAGCAGGACAGATAACTGTCTAAAATTAGGTAACTCACAACTAAAGCGATTGTGGCAATAGATGTTTTTATTGTGCGCCTCCGCTTGGCCTCAGCTTCTTCCAATTTCTCCATCAACTTCTCAACCTGCAATGATAAAAGCAAATGAGATCACAAGTTCATAAAAATGATATATATATATATATAAAACACTAACTCAATAATTGTAGATATTACATTTGGGTGAAAGTAAGCATAGATCATTCCAACAATCCATATGTATCGATCGAGTCCTGATCTAAAATGCCATTCATGTAGCCGTGGAAGGTCTGGTTTTCCCGGGTCACTATACCCTGTCATTAAATTAAACAATTTATCGTGATTCAAGTTTCTCAAGAGTGATTGAATAATAAGCAGATAATATTGCTTCAATAAAACAAGTTACAAATGGTTACGCACCTAACAAGAAAGTGAGAGGACTCCACAAAATTTCGAAAACACCCGGAATTTCCCACACCAATATCACAACAAAAAGGCACATAAAGATTTTCAGAGCCATCACCGATCTTATCTCGTTATAATTGTAACCTATACCAAGGGCTCCATAGACCATGAGTGTAAAGAGAGTATGCATAGGGCAGATATAGTATAGCATGTAGTCATTGTTATGAACGAAACAGCAGAATGCCACGAAAAAATTTAGCCTCCACATCATCTGCACAGAGAATACAATCGAAGTTAAAATACCGCCAACAAAACAAAAGCAGTAGTAGATGCCACTTCTTCACCAATACAAGTCAAAATTCATGGGCATTCACTCCGAATTTTTATTCTCACCTGAGCAAATCGAGCAAGACTGAAATCTTTACGGATGTAGTAGTAAGAGAAGTTTCCAAAACCAGTCATCCAAACATATGCAGCTATAAAAACAAGAATTGCATTGTAGATCTCTGATGCGGCAAAGTAATGGTACATCAAAAACAAGACCTATCATATATAAAGAGAAATATTTTTCAGAAAATTTCCAAGAAAAATTAAGGAAGCTTTCTCAATTTTAAGCTTTAAATCAATCCAGATGCTTGATACAGTAATGGTCAAACCAATAAAATATAAATAGCATAAGAAAATTTGGGAAAAGGATGACCAAATTACTTGCCTGCATATATCCTTTCCACTCTTCAGTCTGATGCCGGTTCAGATATAGGATGGATTTCCCCGAAAATGCAGACTTGTCGTTATGTTTCTTGAAAGAAGTCATTGCCGAAACTATGATAAGGAGAATGTAGAGGAAGAGGAATAGATAGCGGTTGTAGCTCTGGCAACAGGGAATAAAATAACACAACTCAATTGATCTAACAAAATAACACAAACAATTCTATGTGAACAACAAAATAATCAGTGACCGCAATTAATTAATCACAGTCAAGTGCGTAAGATTCGACATTCCTGAAACTAAAAAATAAAAATTACTCTAACATAATATATAATATGAGAGAAGAATAATTTTATTCTTCTCGTGTGCGAGTTGCGGCTTTCCTCCACGTCAGTCGGTTTCTCTCTCGTCTCCTCATTTTTTTTTTTTCGAAACGATAGATTCATTAACGAGAAACACATAATTACAACCGGTTGAAACCGGAATAGGAGCTGCTCATGGAGGCCAGTCCAGATACCACAACACACACTACAACACAATAAGAAAAATAAAAGCTCCCCACAGGAGAACCCTAACTCCCCACAGGAGAATAATACGCTCCTCTAAAGGATAAGAAAACAAAACACAGTTCACAAACAAACACAACAAACATTAACAGAACACCACAAAACACAAACACAAAACACAAACACAAAGAAATAAGATAAAACCCTTCTCACGGCAGAAACACGCCAAGCAATCACGACAATAATACCAAAGGCCGACCACCCATACGGACCGGAGCTCGCCCCAGACCCCAACACCAGAAACTGAAACTTAGGCACCTAACTGGAGTTAGACACTAGAACTCGACCCTGCCCCCGAGCAGCCGAACCCACCCTCAGCCGGAGGAAACTGAACCAAACCCCATCTCACCACCTTCGTCCCGAGCTCTGCCCACACCACTGAACAGGGCTCGTCGCGCCAGCAGCACCCTCGACCCGCACACCAGAGGCCAAAGGAAAACAGGGGAAGAGTCAAATCTCCTCTACTCCGACCGGCCCTCACAATCCGGCCGTCGGAGCCACAACCCTTCCCATCAGAAACACCGTCGTCCTCCACAACTTCGCCATCCAAGAGATTGACGGACCACCAGCCCGAAGAGGCGACCGAGAAAGATGACGAAACCTCTTGGACCGTCCCCCACCCCACCGGCTCGAGTGAACGAACAACGACACCACCGAGAGAGAGCCGTGCAGCCATGGGTGAGCTACCGTCGAAACGGCCGGCGTCCCGCCGGAGAAGGCGGACAATCGCGGATCTAGGGCTAGGAGATTTGGGGATTTTTGTTTTTTCGAGGAGAGAGAAGAGAGGGGGACAGATCTATAGTGATGCGGATTCCAATACTCTCTGTACTTCATGAAATTTTTTAGGCTTACCAAATCTCTCATATCTCCCAATCTCTCGTGAGTTACCCCAAAGGTTAACCAATTGCTTTTAATTTTCAGCGGCCGACTAATGGGCTAAACCAACCCATATGCGTGATGTGATTGTCCTTTGATTTAACTTTTTTCACAATTGGGCTTAAAAACGGGTAGGTATTGGGCTGATATGGGGAACCGTTGGAACTTTCTTTGAATGTCTCAATATACATGAAAAATATTCTAAAAATGAATTATAAATATATTAGTGGAATAAAATTGAGGATACGTAACTACACACTTCTTTTTTTATCAATCATCAATTATGAAAGTATAAACATTTGCTAAAACAAATACGACTGGCTAGCAAATAAGTTAAAGTTTGGTTAACAATAGAAATAGATCACAAGGAAGGGAAATGCTATTTGACACATAAAATTGACACGAAGTGAATGACATGATAAGGATGCTAAAACTAATAATTTTTTTATTTTTTTTAAAAATACTGTATAGCTCTAGTTTATATCATATTAAAATTTATATAAAAAATAATTAAAAACGACTATTTTTATTCACTTCTGGTTTGTAAATGATCTCAAACCAGTCTGACGTCCTCTGATCGGTCTTTAATCTAGTGAAATGTCATGCAACACAGCGCTACGGGTAGTCCCAGTGTAGAAGCTACGACGCTCAAGTTAATAATCAAATCCTCTGATCGGTCTTTAAACCAGTGAAATGACATGCAAAACAGCACTGCGGGTTGTCCAGGCTTAGAAGAAGCTACGACGCTCAAGTCCTCTGATCACTCTTTAAACAAGTGAAATGACATGCAAAACAATGGTGCGGGTTGTCCCTGCGTAGAAGCTACGACGCTCAAGTTAGTAATCAAGAATAAAAATGTACTGTATAAATATGAGTGTAGAATATTCAGAGTGTGTAGAAAGATGATGATCACATCTCATCCATTTATAAAGAGATGTTAACTTGTTGCCTAAGATCGGCTTGTTCTTGCTGCCCGAACTACCCGATCACATTGCTCGAGTGTCCAGACTTCCCAATTTTATTACATGTACACTTGTCCTTACCCACGTGTCCTTATAATAATTATATTCGTACTTATCCATTATCTGATGTGTTCATATTATTCTATCTCATTAATTAATTAGTTGCTCTAAGCAAAGTCGAGCTATCAGCTCGGTTTCCTTTATACTTGACCGTTCTGATCTTCCCCAAGTTAGTCCATTTTTTAGGACTTTAATCGACATCTTTACTTTCATATATCGAGTTTCCATCAAATTATATATCCTAGAATCTTAACTCAACCGGTTTGCCTCGGAGGCCTTCATCGACCTGGTGCTCTCTCAACTTCGAGTCTTCATGTTGTCCAACCTCCGACCAAATTGTTGATCCACTTGAACCGCTCGAGCTGCTATCTCAAGTCGCACACAACATAGTAGTTGGTGTAGTATACCATATCAACTTCCCGTTGAAGTATCAAGCTAAAACAAACATGCATAAAGCCTAAAGGTGTTATGGGATATCTTTTCTTTTCTTTTTTTTTTTTTNAGCAAAATTGACAATACAAAGCAAGTGTCGGTGTGTGTGAAAGTCCAAACACAAAGAAATGTCTTAAATTTTTATTCGTCGTCACATATATATTTTTTGTGTTTCCCATAGCATAGAGTTGACTTTGATTTATAAGGTACGGACAACTCTATTCGAATTTATGACGTGGTTTGATTTGAATTGTGTCAAATGCCCAGAATTTGGAGCAAAACCAGACAATAAAAGCTGTGGATTTACGAAAAGAACAATTAATAAGAAAACTATATTGTTGTTACTTGTTACGACTCGGTCTAAGGCAAGAAAGTCGTAGTTATGTGGTGGGGCCTTATTCGATAAATTATTGACTGTAATTTTGTACATGAGTTAGATCACATATTTACTTGGCAAAGTGTAATTTGCAGTGAAAATAGTCATTCACAAATTACCATAAGGTGAAAAAAAAAATGACATGCCAATATTCTTACTAAACAAAACTTCAAGCTTCCAAGCACTTGATAATAATAATGGATCAAATGACCAAAAGGCTTAAAAGAGTATTGTATAATGCATGATGTAATAAGAAAATCATTATTAGCAAATTCATTAAAAAATCATGGTGTTTGAAATGCATGATTAGATCAACCATATATCCTACCTAAACTTAGTGAATTATCAATAGGTTGTTAAACAAAACAAGCTGCTTCTAATCTTTGACTCGGCTCGGCTCGTTAGGCTTGAAAAATAAGAGACTTTTACAGAATTTCATGAACTTTTAATATAATTCGGCTTGTTAAGGATTATACTTAGCTCGATATATAAGGACTCGAGCACCATGAGCTTCAGTGCTCAACTCGTTTACAGCTTCAATCATGACACCATTTTATAGAGCTGACATTTTTTTCACTATTATAAAGTATAAACTAAACAAAAGGTAAATTTTTTTATTAAAATGCATAGTAGATTGATTATAACATAAAAAAAATCACTCTACCAAATGATATATCCGTATATATTGTATCTATAAGTACAATAGTCTCATGGAGGGATTTGAGCAACATTGAAGCTAAGAGCATGAGCACCAAATAAGACTATATATACTAGCCATGGCCATAACACAAAGGCCCATGTAAGTCAGCAAAAGCAAAACAAAAATTTTAGAAAAAAAGGAACATTTAAAAAAATAAAAACAAACAAAAAAAACATGCATCAAGTAATATTAGTTAGAGAAAACTGTAAAAATAATCTCTAAGGCTCCTGTTTAGGGAACACAGGAGGAATTATATCCTGCAACAGTCCATAGTCCGTAAACTGCTCCACCTGCTGACGTGGCACGCTCGGAATATTCCGTTGATAATGGTTCATCATCATCGTCATCCCATTTCCCGTCGTCCCACCGTAACCGTACAAATGAGGCATTTGTCCCAAAAGCTCTTGATGAGCGAAACTCGAGCCCTCGAAAGGCGGCGAAAGCATCGAGTGGCCGGAGAATATTCCGGCGGCCGCCACCACCTGTCCCCGGAGATTCACCGGAACGTGGTGGTTGTGCTGCCCCTCGTAAGTGGTGATCACGATCGAGGGGTCCTCGAAAGATCGCTCGACTCGTTTTTTCACCGGGCATTTCTGGGTCGTGCATCTGTAGTAGCTTCTACAGTAATTTTTTTTTTATGTGCACAGTTATTAGTTTTTAATTTATGGATATTCAAATATGAAACAATAATAGAAAAAATAGAAAAAATTATATAGTTACATGTTTGATTAATTATTAATTAGTTAATTGATTAATTAATCAATTAGTAGCTTGTGTTATTTAACTATTTATTAACTTTTGCCTGAATTGAATGTATTGTGAAATGGATGATTGTGAAATGTGTTTTTGGTAACTCAATTTGTAAATTATTATGGCAGTGTAGCTTGACTCGTAACTGATCAATAATTTCTTAATCAGTTCGTTTGAATGCCAATGAATTTTGTATAAAATCAAATATAAGTACAAACTCTGCTACTTAATTGCTTGAGTTTCACCTTCTCATAAATCGTTCATACTAGGGTTAATGTTCAGACCAGAAAGAAATTAATTAACAACATTTTAACATGATATTTTATTAACCTGAATAATATTATGTACCCTGAAACATAGAAAATATTTCAAGAAAGCAGTAGATTTTGTCATTTTTATCATACGAATTAGTTAACCGCCTTAAAGTTTGACTAGTAAGCAAAAGTTGCATGATTTTTGTCATGTGTTCAAATTCCACAAGAGTGTTCATACACAAAGACTTGATCATGGCTACTTCATGTTCAAACAAATCAATCAAACTCATTCATTTTTTAACAAAAATTGAACCGAACCGAACCTCGGATAAGGGCTATTCTTGACGGCTTTCTGACCGTATTTTCTCCATCTGTACCCGTCTTCAAGATGATCGACCTCACTCTTGGTCATGAACGCGAAGCGTGGTTGTTTTTCCTTCTTCCCGACTCCTTTTTTCCTCGTCTTAACACTTCAACGATTTAAACAAAAAACAGAATAGAAACAAAATTATCGAACGATTTAAATAAAAAACCGAATAAAATTAAAATTATCTACACAATGCTTTAGTTGATCTGTCCTAGTTAATCTTGACTCGACATTAGAAGTATATTGATTTTTCCTCAATAACCGAATACTTTTGTCTGCATTTCTTGTTTCATCCATAAAACGATTTCCTTCCCTATGAGTTCTATTCTCAATAATATACTAGAAGTCAAGAAATTAGATAAAGATACTAACAAAGAAAGAAACTTAATTATTACTCTTTCTTGGAGCCATCCTCTTCATCATTTTCAAGGGTTTCCTTTGCTAAAACTCCTCCTTTCTTGCCCTTGTTCAAATTCTCGCCGTGATCCTCTGAGGCGGACGAGATCGAAGAGTTTGGAGTCGCCGGAGTTTCGAAACCTCCGGCGGCCGTATGCTCCTCTTTATTACCGTCGGAAAATGCCTCCGGCGACAAGCCGAAAGCATCGAGGTACGAGTTTGGGCCGGTCGGTACTTGGAAAAGCTCGGGAAGGCTCAAAAATGAAGGGTCGAAAAAGTTGTTGTTGCCGGAGTATTGGAAGTTGGCGGCTCCGGTGAAGCTCCGCCGTTGATCGTCATCATCGTGATCCAACGGCTGGTGATGGTAGTAAAAATCTTGGAAACCTTTAGACATGAGGTTAAGTAGTTAAAATTTTTTGATGAAATTGTTATAAAGAAAGTGTGGGGGAAAAGGAAAACAAGTGAAGCCTAAAAAACACAAGGTATGTTTAGGGAGTAGACTAATAGTGGAGAAATTAAGGAGTTGGAAGAGGAGAATATATATGGGGTTTGAAAAAAAGTTATGTGGTCTAATTTTTATTTTTTAAGGAAGCTTTGACGGGAAGAAGATTTTGATTTGAGGTCATGGGGGTTGGTCTCTCTCTACTTTATTATTACTATTGTTGGAAGAATATGAAATGAGTGGAATTTTTGGGAATTTTTATATTGAGAAAGATTAAAAAGTATCCCATGTAGTTCTAGGTGAATGGAAATCAAGTAGTTTTATTATAATATGATTAATTACTATTAGTTTCTTAATTTTAAAATTGGCTGATTCGAGGATAATTTTGGATGAAAAATAAAAATTAAGTAGTTTTACTAGGATATAATTAATTAATGAGTAGTTTTTAAATATTAAAATTGACCGATTCGAGGATAATTTTGACCAGAGTCTCATGAAACTTTGAGTTAAAATTTGAACTTATGGAATTAATTATCTTCGAATTGTTCAATTTTAAAATTACGTCATATATTAATTAAAATTAGATTTACTTTGAATATTTTCCACACACCCAACAACAGAATTGTTCATTTGTCCACTGTAGACGTATTAAGATGTGTTCATCAGTCACTTGTCAATAATTTTTCGTAATCCTTCAACGATGTAACAAACATGTATGATATGCTCCATCTCCTTAGATATAATTAATATGTGTGTAAAGATCAAATGTATTATACAAATAATCACGTGATATACTAATTTCTTGAGATATCATATGTATAAAAAGATAAAATGTATTATACAACTAGAGGTAAAAATAGATTAACTTCGAATTTAAGGTGGTAAATAAAATTATGAATTTTTTTCATTAATTACAACTACCAACCCCCGCAATTGTCAACAAAGCTTAGGTACATATTGCTGGTGTCATTTTGCCACTAATCTATATCAAAATATCTTACCACCAAGAATTATTCAACGTTTGTAGCTCACTATAGTCCTAATCTTGATCATGTCACGCTAGTATGAATTCACATGTAAACTAGAATTTAAATGTGCTAGCTGCATAGTGCTTTTGTTTTGTTTTTTTTTTGTTGTAAAAAAAAAAAAGGTGTTTGTATAACATATATAATTGTGATTTTTTAATCATGATTATCCAGACTTTAGAATAATATTATTAAATTATAGTTTATGGTTATATAAATGATTACACCTTATCTCGAAACATTTTTGTGTACTCGTCTCTTTTTAACTTCATTGTTACTTCTAACTGTATATTATAGGTGTCGGCCATTATACGGACTTGTAAGTTGTAATAATGTCCTAATGACTACAGTAAATACGTATTAATTACGCTTGAAAGAGAAAAATAGGAGAAATTAAAGGAAAAAGAAATCCCGTGGTTGGATTTAAAGCAATATTTTTCCACGTTTTTCATTAATTATTGGAGTGAACATTTAAGAAATTAAAAATTGTCACAAGAATACGGTAATACGAGTCTGTGTTCGTACATAGGTCTGTTGCGTAGCTATGTAGAATTAAGCATAATGTCCTTGACAAATTGGCATCTTAATTAATTAATTAGTTAACTAATTAAATAATTAATTGCTAATTAAGCCATCTCTGTCGAGTCCAACTCAATCATGGGCATACTTCCGGCAATTGATGCTTAATTTTCTTATGACTTCGCACTTTTTTTTTTTCTTTTCTTGATACTATCACAAAAAGAAATGTTGAAATTGCAAGAATTTGCAGTTATCAAACTTCAATTAACATAGTTGATTTATTATCATATTTATATCTATATCTATATCTATCTATATATACATATATAATAAGAATTAACTTAAATCAAATATAATAAGCATTTTCTGCCATTATGCATTAATTACATCCTAATTATAGTAATTTCACCAAATTCCTTACAACAAATCTTGAAACATTAATAGAACTCAGTTTTAACTTCCCTTAACTACCGAATTTATTGTTTTAAAAAGATACTCCATAATATTTGATTAAACACTAAATCCGGATTTTTGGAATCAATTATATTTAAAAGCAATATTATTATAGAATAAAATATTATAGAGTATCTTTTTAAAAGCTGTACAATTATAGAATCAAATAATTTAACCACGTTTCAATCTATTTAATTCAATATATATCTTTTTTTAGACTTATCAATTCATTTTAATGTAATATAAATTTGCCGTAAAAATGAGAGTAGAACTTTACAATAATCATGGTATCAATATTAATAATATAAATGCTAAATAACATTTAATTATTTGGACTGTACACTAATTTATTATATATATATATATAAATAATCGCATATTTGAACTTTAAATTTTTTATTTTTTCACATATAGTTATGAAATATATGCAACTTAACTAAAAGTAAATAATATTGTAAAGATTTCATTCAATCAGGATAACATGTTTATTAAAATTGCCACAATATTCGATTCACTATTCCACTACTCATGTAAACATCTTTTTGTTATAATATCACGATTATTTTTTATCAATTTATTTATGAAATATTTTTTTCATTTAAAAACCGTGATTTACATGTCCTCCTATTCATTTAGTTAGTTTTGAGCTACAAATGATAAAATATCGTTGTTGTTTTATTTTTTAACGTAATTATTTTTGTAAATATTGTTTTACGAAAGATACAATCAAAATTCTAAATCTTTGTTAAAACATAACAAAACAAAATTGTTCTTAATATGGGAATGAATTTGTCATAAAAAATGAAAATGATTGAAAAAAAAATATACTCAAAATTCACACTTTAAGGTAACAACTTTTCTTATATTCTATATAAAATTAAACTTCATAAAATAAATCATATCTTTTAGTATTTATCACAATATTACATATTTTCACTATAGTTTTATTTCGTGGTGGTAACATTCCGAAAATCAACAAAAAATTGAAGGAAATAGGTGTCTATGCAATTCGCAAATATCAAGTGGAGAACAATCTTGATAAATATCGTAGAATTCTTGATAAATATCGATCTACGGTTGCCAAGTGCAACATAATTTTTCATGGAAAAACAAAGAGGTTTATAATAATGTATGATTTTTTACGATTACCTAAATGATCTATGTATTATAACTTATTGATTAATAGCCTTCAGTTATAAATTTTACCAAAACAAATACAGACCGTGCATTGCACAGGGTTACGTACTAGTAAATAAAGCTAAGGAAAACAAATCATCTTCATTTATGATATTTGTAAGCATAAATTCTTGCATAACAGTTAAAGTTAGGCAATCAATTAGTTATACCTTGTGAACAAATACTTCCGTTTACATATAATATATTTTAAATTATATCGTTTTTTAATAAAAATGTTAGATATTTGCGTGAAAAAAAAAATATTGACGCAATAGTTATAACGATCTAAAAGAAATACAACACGAAATTATACTTTTACATAAAATTGTATATAATATAGATTATTCTAGCTTGTCTGATGAATTTTGATTCAATCAAACTATATCACATCATTTTTTTTTATTATTTGATTAAACTTCTGTAGATATGAGATTCCAAGTGTCTGTAATATTGGTTTGTGAACGTGATTGATTAAAAAGTTAAACAACAATAGGTGAAAGAAAATTTGATTGTAGGGATTATGAGAGCCAATAAAGGAAGAACAAAAAAAAAAAAAGAAAAAATAAGTCAACCAAATCGGTGTTTTTGTGTGTTAACAGTCAAATCACGAGATGAGGCGGTCAATGATTCAAACATGGGGCGAACACGTGTCCCCACTGGTGCCACCGGCATTTGACCGTAGCCCACACATGTGACCGGCACGTGGGCTCTGATCTTCGGTTCACTTCCATTTTAGCTGTCTTTCCTGTTGGGAGCTCAATGTCTCTTTCCATGACCCTTTTTTATTAATGCATTATTTTATTCAATTAAAATGTTTGAAAGTTTTTATTGACAAATAATTTAACCTCTATAGTAAGTGGCATGAATAATAATATATAGTTTGTATATTGTAAATGTATATATATTTTTTTTTTAAATTTGTAATATATATCTAATGGGAGCTTATTAAAAAAAAATGATATGGTTATTGTATTTTTTAGGCAAATTGTAAAATATGCTCAGTAATTTTGAAGCAAACTACGTTTTTTCCAATAAAAGTGTACATCGATTAACCAAATTGCGGATTCTTTTTGTCCAAACACATTTGTTAGTGATGAGTAATTTTTAAAAAGTTTTTGCAATTAATTATTTGTATAATATTGAATTTTTTTTGTGCATATTTAATTTGATCTATTATTATTAATTAATCGGTACTTTTTAAAATTATAATTTTTTGTTCTCGTCCATTTCATATATACTTACGTAGAAGATTGAAGAAGAGCATAAAAGTTTGACTGTATATATAAACTGAAAGACATATTTTGGCTAATGTTAGGCAAACTTTTTTTGTCTATGATAATAACGTAAAGGTGTGCAGTTGCCCAATGAAGGTGACCTTAATAATTTAATCCCTAAATCTCAGAGTCTAAGAAAACAATGAGAATTAATAATTTATATATTGGTTAAAGGTATTCCCATTTAAATATATACTCATAAATTATATATTTATTTTATCGTTTTTCTAACAATTTTAACGAAACCAAGATTTCTATAATAAATTAAATTTATTAAATTCTTTTTAATTTTTCTATACACATTGAAAACTAATTTAAAATCCAATGTAGGGAATAATAGGTACAGTACTAGTGTAATGTTTTGATTTTGACACATTCCTAAATATAAGCCTGTGCTGTTATGAGTTATGCCTGTTTGTATTATTTTACGCATATGTACAACTCTGCAAGTTAATGCCAACTTAGTTTGAAAATGCCACCACCAATCAATAATGTGAAACCCAGAGTCCATCTAGTTATAGAGAGATAGAAGTAGAATCAAATGAAAATCAGTGATATTGAAAGAAATAAAAATAAATAGTAGTCATTTGACGGGATACATCAATGGTCCAAGTTCGGTCAAAGGTTTCAATTTTATGAGTACTAGTAGAGGCATTTATGTAATTATGAGTACTTTTGATTTTCATATAGGGGTATTTTCATCATTTTGTAGAATACACTGTTACACTATTGTGCATTTTCACATACATTAATGTG